TATGAATTTTATCTGCATAAAAGTGATCACTATGCTCATGTTTACAATCCTCGCTTTTACGACTAACTCCTTGACTTACTTCATGTTGTTAGAATACTTTACATAATAGTAACTAAGCTAGTGTTGATTTGTTATCATAATCTTGAGCTGTTGTCAGGAAACAATTTCTAAATTTACTAGGTTTCATATTTCCACCTTATTTTTTATTTTTAGAAATTTTTTTTTCAAATTGGCAGACAGTAGCTTCAGAAAACTCAATAATGTGATCGATTTCAATTTTCAGAATCAAACCACATCCAGTTTATCTGGTTCTTAAATCAATATATTTCAATGTTCAAAAGTATTTCATTTATTAAATCTAACGTAAACATGGATTAATGAAAAAAAGAATAAACAATAAAAGTTTTATTCCATTTGTCAATCTTTGTTTTAATTTTATTCTATTGGATACATTTTAAAAAATACTAATGGTTATGTATAAAACTATTGTACACTTACCTGACTGGTGACGCTTATGAGTAATAGGAAATTGTAAAATTTATATTAAAATGATTTACATTATTTTGGAGCTATGTAGCTGTAGTAAGTGTCATGCACGTAGCATATGTATTTTAGATGTCAAATAAACAGATTTAACCGTATAGAAGTTATGTAACATAGTTAAATCCACTATTATTCTTCCTTGATTAACATTTTTTTTGTTAACGGATGTTTTTGTGATTGATATACTTACTTACTTACTTACGCCTTTTACTCCTAATGGAGCATAGGCCGCAGACCAGCATTCTTCAACGCACTCTGTCCTGGGCCTTCTTTTCTAGTTCCACCCCATTTTGTTCATTTTTCTCATGTCTATTTTCATTTCCCGGCGTAATGTGTTCTTTGGTCTTCCGCCTTTCCTCTGGACTTGAAGATTCCATGTGAGAGCTTGTCTTGTAACGCAGTTGGATGTTTTCCCCAATGTGTGTCCTATCCACTTCCAGCGCTTCCTCCTGATTTCTTTCTCCGCTGAGATCTGGTTTGTGTGACTGATATAGTTCCGTAGAAAACAAACGACTAAAACGTTATCAAATTCAATCGCTTGAACTCAACAAATTTATTGAAGTACTCATAAAGGACGAGTTATTGAAACGGAACAATTTGAAAAAATAAACTTTTATCTGCTAATAATTTGTGCTTTTTGAGTTTAAAATAAAGTGTTATGATAAAAGAAAAGTGTCAACCTGTCAATGAACAGTGTCATTTGAACATAGCACAATATGTCAACTAAGTTCTTAATATAATAATCACTGTTTCAGTAGAATATTCAATGAGTATTCTGTCTTTTAGTTTTCGTTTAGGATTTGAAGAAAGTTATAAAAATCAATCAATCTATTAGTTCTTATATGGTTCATTAAAATAGGAAATTTAAAGCATAAAATATGCGACATTTCAACGATACATTCAATATATGAATATTCAGATATCTATGATTTCGTTTTCTAGCCGTGGTTATCTGTTATTTATCTTCATTCAGAAATATTTTCGGTTGGTTTCATCTATATGATATAAAATAAATGATGCATGTATTTTAAGCTTACTGTTTTGTTGAAAGAAAGACCGAAAGAATATTATATTAATAACTTTTAATGGTTCAATTTGAATTTTTCAGTAAGCAGCTTCACAATAGATTTTAAAACTCATAATAGCTCATCAACAGAAATAGATAATTCGCATAATCATTCAGATGGAACGAATTTAGAATAGGACACTATGTTTTTTTTTAACGTAATCTCAACTATTCAGCAAATGTCAATGTTTGTAGTAAGAAAAACTAATTGATTAGGCATATATATGTAAAGAACAAAGATTTTCCGTACTCAATTCATTATGAATTAGACATAATTGATATCAAGGGATGTAAGTAGATGTATTCACCAGTATTGATCAATATGATTTGTTTGTTAAAAATTAAGATTTGAAAATAAAGTGAATATGGAATACAGTAGAAAATGATAAGAATCATCAGACATCTGTATTTGTGCTATTCACAACGATGAATATTTATTTAATTAAAGAGTAACAATTTTATCACGGTTATTCTAACTTTGACTCTAAAGGGATTTTGAATGGCTACCATAAAATGACTTCACAATAATGTTTATTTCATTTGGGAATAATCTATATGAATACAAAATGGAATTATGTAACAATACTGAACGGCACTTTTTCCGGTTAGAATAAAGAAAAAAAAACATGAGTTATCATAATGTCACTAGGTAATTTACTTAGATTGGAAATTCTAGTATTTTTTCATGAGGATGAATTAACATATGCTTTTATTATGTTCAGTAAACTATGAAACGCCCATACAATTGTATTGGGAAAAAAATGAAAAAACGTAAACAGTTAGGAATTGAGTGCAGAAAGTAACACACCTTATCAAAGTCATTAGGTCTAAGTATTATCACAAAATTACAATAATACAATATTGTTGTATGAGAAATACATGAATTCGTGTAATGAATATGAATACATTGAGTACACCGTATGAACCACAGTTTTTAAAACGTTTTGTCAATTTATAAGCAAAGATGTATAGTGGCTAGCAGTGGAATCCAGGACGCGCGTTTCGTCCTACTTGAGACTCGTCAGCTAGATGCACCTGCATCTCAGAGTTCATGTTCACTCTGTGACTCGACCTCAAACGCCATCGCGTTATCCACATAGCTACTGAGTCCTGATAGTCACCTACTTGCGCAATCGCATGAAGTTTAAATTCACATGGTGTTGTTTCACTTGTATCTTCCCATTGTTATTTAGGACTGCAATTGATCAGTCTCATGTTGGCATATGTGCATTCCGGAGTGAACATCAAATATACGATGCAGGTAAACCCAGCTGACGAGTCTCAAATAGGACGAAACGCGCATCCTGAATCCCACTGCTAGCCACTATTCATCTTTACTTTTACGTACTTATTGTAAAAATAATTTATTTCAAAAATCCATTTCGTTTCAAACCCTATAGTATGATATAAACATATTTTAACATATTTTTAACATATTTTTGAAACTTTCCATATGTCATCACTTCCCTTTTTGAAAATGCATTGATGTAAAATATGTAAAGACATCTAAGTAAAACTAATGAGTATGCATACAGCAATGTGTTTTATCATCATTGAATTCATTGTGGTACAGCATGCTGCTGATGACGAATTTCACGATCACTGACTATAACATTATTGATAACAGTGTACAGAATTGTGAACATTTGATCTCAACAACATTTCTCGTTATTTATTAAACTTTTTATCAACAGTTAACAAACTATAGACAGACTACCTTTAATTTTTCTATAATATCCGATAGTAAGACGTACTACATAGGGTTTAGTAAAATTACTTAATACTAACTACAGAATGAATTTATCGACAAATAAATGGTAATGACTAAATTGTAAATCAAAGCAAGATATATTCACTAGTATAGTGTGATAGTAGAAAGCGTGAGAAATAGGAGTCTCATATTTCAATGATAACTACTAAATCAAAATATCAGTTAAATAGAAAGTTCAACTATCAATCAAAAAAGATTTTAAATTTATTATAAGTAAGAATAAATAAAATACAAACAAACTGAATAATAAGGCATGTTCTGACATGTTAGTTACAAATTTTACATTGTACGAATCATCAACGTAACATAAAACACTAGTATGAGTAACACAACGTGAAACAACAAGATGTAAACGAAGATGAAAGTAAATTCATAGAAACAAAATTAGCATTCTACAAATGTAACCTTTCCATTGAAGTGTGCTTTTAAACATGAAATAAATATACATATATATTGGACCATAAACCACTATTTTACATTGATATACAATATAATTTATAAGATGCATTGAAGTTTATCAGTAAACCTTACTAAAATATTTCACACACTCTATGTGTATGTTCTCATAGAATCTCATAAAATTGAATAAATTGAAGTTGTATTTATTTAACTGGTCAAAACTGAAATTCCTTATGAAAGTAACAATCATAATGAGTCAGTCAGTCAGTAACAACATAGAACTTCGTATGTACGTACATCGGTTCGAATTGCTATACCACATTAGCACAGAGATGCAGTTGTCAATTCAAATACCATAGTGGTAGAGGCAGTAAGAGTATAATCAGTAATCGGAAAGATTAGGGTTTGAAGATGTTATTCAAAGAGTATAATCCAGTGATATATATTTGGAAAGAGAAAAAATAAAGGAACATGAAGAATTGAGAGAACACAAAGAGTGGATGGAACTGCATCATTGCAAACGATTTTGAGCCACGTCATTCAAGGTCTCTAACCATCGGTTGTATTAATTTAATACAAAATTGATATAACCGATACAATTTTGTAAATAACACTAGTTTAAGTGTTGTTAAAAATGTATACTGTAAACGTTCTTCTATTAAAGAAAGCAACAGGATTATAAAGCTATTGATAAATTAATATCTAATTGGATTATGCAAAATTTGATTAAACTAATATTGTAGTAAATGGAAACTAGTTGGAGATAACAAATTTATTGTTTCATGCAAAATGATACAATGCTTTCGCAAAATATAGAGACTATACATTAAATACATTATTTGCATATCTTCCTTAAATTGTCCTTTTCATGCTCCAGTATTCTTTTAATTCTGTTGTTGTTACAACTACTCACTGTTTACATTCCTGTTCTCTTCAATGCAATTTTCTTTAATCTTCTGCTACCACGCATTCTAATACTGATTAGTGTTACATACTACTTATATCTATCAACATAAGTAGCTTACACCACAATATCATACATGATTTTATGATATTCGCATTCTAATAATATTGCTTCAATTTATCAAGACAACTAATAGAACCTTCTTTAACTACGGAAATTTTCAACTAGAACAGTTTGCAAAGACCCACACTATACAATAAAAATTTACTTCATAAAAGGGTTAGAAAACTACATTTTACATTCTTCTTTTATTTGATACCCACTATAAAATTAGTTAACATAAATACTGTTGTTATTTCCACTTTGTCTGTTTAATCAAAATTGATTAGGCAAGTTGACTGTATGTCTTAAATAAAATGTTTTTAATATATCAAGGACTTATAATTGAAGATTCTTGCATAACACCGTTCTCTTTCATCAAACATAATTCAGGAAACAGTTTGAGAATTCTTCCTTTCCTTTGCTCTAAGCTGTGAGACTCGTGATTAAGTGCTCTGAAGGATGATGCGTAGCCCCTGTTTCCATTCGTGATCTTTGTTCTCTTTGACGTTCAAGTTCATCCCAGAATGTTTTCAGAGACTTGAAATGAAATATAACAAAAAATATATATAAATCATCACTATCAAATAAAATAATTGCTTAACATTATCATAATTACCGTAATGCACAACATCAGTCAGGTAAATTAGTTGTTCAGCATAGGGATCATTTAGATCTAGTTACGATTATCTGATTATTACATTGTAAGCTTTCCAGCAAAAATGTAATATTTATATATTTAAAGATTTGAATAATTTTTCTGGTTAGCGTTTTTTTTATTCACTGTTGATACACTGGATAAGATTCAAGAAAGAAGGAACAAGAAGTCAGCGATCAATACCAGCCGAACAAGAGCAGAAAAAGCCAAGGCACAAGCTGAATACACGGAAATAAACAAACAAGTGAAGAGGAGCATCAGTGAAAATCCTGACCTTGGTGTTGGTTGACAGTCGTTTTGAGTTGCAGATGTTCTTCAATTGTAAACATGCTGCTCTTGCTTTGTCAATCCAAGCATTCACATCTGCATCAGATCCACCCTGTTCATCAATGATGCTGTTCAAATATGTCAAGGTTTTTACATCTTCCAAATCTTCGTGAAGTGTGATTCGAATGTTTGATGCTGTGTTGTATCGGGGAACATATATTTATATATATATTCCATCAAGACTTTCGATCATAGACATTATTTTCAGGTAGAATGTACATTATTGTACCTATTTGAATGATGGTCATATAGAAATATGCTATCGATAAATTTTTCGTAAACAAAATATATTACTTCAAGTCAAAAACGTTAATAAAATGATCGATTTTTAGTCAGATAACTAAAAATATTTCTAGTTATATCTGATAACTCATACTAATATGTTGAATCACATAGTATATCTCTATATATACTATATCCATTAAAGTTAATCATTTCATACTACTCAGAAATGAAATAATCAACAGTATTAAACGTGTTTCGTAGTTTAATTGTAGATACTATAGCAAATAGTCTTCTTTAAATATTAGAATAAAAATATACCAATCATAAAATTACTCACTTCATTCTCCTTATTTTTAACACCTTTATTTACATATTTCCTGAATTTTTGTGACTGATCACTCTTTGCATATCTTTGTCTTTCTTCTTTTTGTTTACTCAAACAATCAAGCATTTGTTGTAGTGATGGATCATTTTTGTATATATCTTCCTTAGTAACTTTGCAGTTATTGATAAAAGTATTTCTAAATTTTAAAAACAATAAAAATTAAATAAATATGTTTTTTTTTCTCGGTCATTATTACTTTTGTTAGCAACAATGTTTTATACAGAATTCAAGTCCAACTAAGTTCAACTTAGTGGTTTTGAGTTTAAGCGTTCGCGTGCGAGATCGTGGATGCGCATTGCTCAGGAGTCCCACACTAGGACAAAACGGCCGTTCAATGCTTTCAGATTTTCTATGTTTCTCTAACTTAGATAGACTCATAAATTCAACTATTAAATTCCATCTGTTTGATTTGCTACAGACCATTCTCTCAAATAACTAGACAATAAGGTAACTAATGACAAACAGTTGGTGATGGAAGATAAAAAGTAGAAAAAGTGACTTCATATAGGACACTTTCTACCAGTCAATAAAACAGAAAACACTTAATCGACACTCGCTAAAAAACTAATGAACGTAAATGTTATATTTCTTAAGTAGGAATAAAATTAACGTATGTATTTTGTCTGTACAATCATCATTTAGTTAATCTTATGCTTTCAATCAGACCATATCACGGACGTGCATATAAACGCAAGAAATTGTTATTGATGAGATGAAATTACATGGTATTGAATCATTAATTTTTCTAGATCGGATACAATACATCAGTAGTATATATCATTCTAGTTACCATTATATCCTTATATCAGGACAAGTAAATGGTAAACTCTACATACGATTTAGGCAATTATACAGACCCGGAAGACCATTTTGGTTAAACGTAGGGATGAGGGAGCGTCAAGTGTAAACATTGAAACCGGTTCACCATCTAGAGGAGAAAATTCGATATAGGTTCTAAGCCAGAAACTTTTCGATTTGAATAAGGTAAAACCTACTCTTTATGCATAAAAACTATATGACTAATAAAATTTTCAGTCATTTTAATTAGAACAAGACATAAGAACAAAGAATTATGCATTCAGCAAGGTCATCTTACATAGTCTTTTGCCTAACATACACTAACATTCATATACATGTATTAAAAATACTAAACTAATTAAGAGGATACTAAGTCATTTATAACAATATGATATTACCACTAATAATAAGAAATATGAATTGATATTCCGATAACAAGTGTTCTCAATGTCGTACTAATCGTAGTACCGGTAGTAGCGCTAAAGATCACATTTAGATATACTTATTTACACAATCACCTCCTCTGTAACTTTTCAACATACTACTGAAGTAGAGTCACCACATTTAGTCATTATATTTGCAATAACTTAAAACGGATTTCAAAAGTCTAGTTTCAATTCCTCAGAAAGTATATGACTTTTTTCTTTTTTGATTAGACAAATGAACATAAGTAAAGGACACACTTGGTCAGGAACATAATGCTTGCAATAAACAGAATTTCGACTTTTAAAAGAAAGAATATTTTGGACAATGAGATGTTTTTTTCAAGTAGACAAAATTCTGTTCGTCAAAGTAAGTAACAAATAAATTTATGTCACTGAATCTGTCTGCCAAATAATTCCGACCTTCTTTAATCAACTAACAATAAAGCAGTAATTCATTTCCAAAAATTAGTTATTTAGTTGCTACAATGTACGTCTATTTCATCTGAATTTGAATCAAAGTTTTTGGAAATACTTAGAAAATGTTCAACAGTCAGTAAGTAACGTAGGATGTCAAAATGTGCTTCAGCCTTTCTCCATTATATCAGCATAGTGCAATGGAATTAAAAAGATGAATACCAATATAGTAGTAATAGTAGTTTCAGTGGTGTTGGACTCAACATCAGTTAAACAGATCACAGTTATGTACCATTGACACGAAAGTTATTTGTTCAGAATTTGGTGTATATATCTTATAATAGTTTTAAGAAAACAATACAAACTGATAAATACAGACCGCATTGTGAACAGAGGAAGTATTTAGAAATTAAAGAATAAATAGGGTATTTTGACACTTTTCAGTCTCATATATCAAAGACCTATAGTGGCTAGCAGTAGAATCCAAAACGCGCGTTTTGTCTTATTCGGGAATTATCAGCTGGATGTACCTGCATCTCAGAGTTCATGTTAACTCTAAGACTCAAACCCAGTATCGTTCGCTTCATCTACCGTCGCGTTATTCACTTAGCTGCTGAGTTCTGATGGCTACCTGCTTGTGTAATGGGATAAAGTTTAAATTGTTTACTTGAATCTTCCCATTGATGTTTAAGAGTACAGTTGATCAGTGTCTTTTCAGTAGTGAATACACAATTAATTTAGTTATCACCTGTCAGCATATCAAAACATGTAGTACAAAATAAAGTTTTGTCATTTAGACCCGATCATACTTTTTAAAAGTATTTCTTAGTCATTGTTACAAAATTATCAAAGCCGATTGATCTGGTCAATCTCTGATATTCAGATTCATTTAAATACTTATTCAAAAACGACGTTAACCGCACAACTTAGATTTAACCGATAGTCTTAAGTGAGACAAAATTAACAGTAATCTCTCTTGTAAAAATACTCTGAAATTGAAAAAATTACTTAATTGTATCTAATTTTATGACAAAATACATAGAAACTATTAAATGGTCTTTAAACGGTTGACGTTTAAAACAGGAAATATTGTTTTACTCATTCATGTTGAATTGTTTAAAGCTTCTAGAGATGGTTCTATTACAAATCATAAACACAAATAATTAGTAGTGCCTAGTGACACAAAGGTAATTCATAGATTTCATTTAAATACGAAACTATATCATCAAAATGTCGAACAGAACTTAAAGCATTATTTTAATAAGAAAGGAAAAATTAAAACTATATTTAAGTAGCATATTGATCATACTCATCATATTTTACTACTGCACATAATCAGTTGAACAGAAAATGTAAAAGTTTGTGAGCGAAATTATCAAAAGAAATAACACAGGTGGGTAGTAAATGATTTAACTGGGATGAACAACATATATGATCTTAACATTACGAGAATTCTAGTTCATTGACTTGAATTGCATAACACGACTAAGACCAAAATTCAGTTATTTTATAAGATATTTTGGCACAAAACCTCAAGAACACGGCAAAGTGTATAACACAATTTAAACCATTTTAATTGATGTAGAGGTTTGGAATAATATAAATGGTAATTCAAACAATTCGGAAGGAAATCAAACTTAGTTTGAAAAAATTACGTCAATTGGTCAAACGATATCACACTGGAAACTAACAAAAATGTAATATTTATATATTTAAGCATAACAAGTAAACAATATTACTGAAATTTGAATGCTGTATAACAATATCTGATTATTAACGTAGAAATATATCTACTCACATCATAGATTCAACGGTGTCAAAAATTTGATATTGAAGGGAATAATCTGCAGTAATCTAATTGTTATGTCCCGACAAGAATAATGAATGGTAACTTTTGGGATCTATTGATGGACCAATACTATTGTATAATTATTAAGTAACTAAACTATGCATATTCATATCCCTATTATTATAAGCTGTATTTTGACCCATAAACTATTATTATACGTTTTACCATTCTTGAGTTATACCCAGTATATTAATTACTACCTCCCTCATTCACAGCCACGTCTGGCTAATTCTTGTACAAATGTTATTTCATATTTTATTGGTACGTTGTGGTCTGTTTGATTGGTATATAAACTCAGTATGTTTGAAATATAATGATTCATATTGCAGAGGCTAAGACTGGTGTTCTGGACTTAACTGACTGGACTAGACGGAAAGCAGGGTCAATCAAGACTTTAGACTGCTCGCACATGTTTTACGCGTCTTTGATTCGATCGATAAGTCACTGCTCTCTAATCGGCAGTCACACGATATAACACCAATAATATCTTTAGGATCGTGTTTTGAAGTAAATTTTACTTAATTAATTTATGCTGTTATGTAATTTACATGATACAAATATATGTGCTAGTAGTCATGGAAACTTTTTTCTTAAACATATAAAAACAATAGACTCTGAAAAATGCATGTAAATAGTAGCTAAAACATATCACCACGTATATCTACCACCATACTGGTTAACGTTTGTCACTAAACGTTTTAACAAGTAAACTTATGAAGAGTTTACTTTAAATTTTATTCAACAGATTGATTAATTATGACTAGATTCATTGGTTTCTCTGTATTATTAAATATACTGAAAAAAATTTAAATGATAACTGACTATAAATATTTATTATTTAAACCGATCTAGAATCTTTTTTTTAAAAACATCATGAAAAACTCAATTTTGTTGCTCGAGCATATCGAGTGATACATGAGATTGTCAGTCTAAAATTATTGTTATTATTATTAATGGCTTTATTCAATATTACATTTTTGATACAATATAGAATTCTCAGCATAAGTTATTTCAACAAGTTCCCGTTTCTTACTTCTTCGTCGATCCTGACGATAAATATCAAGTGATCATCACTTAGATGTTAAGGAACCGACATTTGAGTAATGTTCATCCTTTTCAATGCATATTTCCAACTACCATGATGTCTATGATTGTATTTTTTTGTAACTTGTACGGCAAAATATCGTAAACTTTTCATAAACACGCCTGGATGGGTTCTGCGACATGTGTGTTAAAACAAACAAAAATATAACTTGTTAAAATATCTAGATGGCAGGAACAAGTAGCCGAGGTATTTGAGCAGGCCACCAATCCAAACATTAAGTATCCATCAGTCAGATATAAGATAATACTTGATAGATGTATGGTGAATAGATTTGATGATAATTAAGGTTGATGATGCAAACATGAAGTTATTGTTGCCTGACTGGTTATCACTATGAGAATTTATTTTTTCATTAAAAAATAAGTTATAATTATCTGACTGATTTTAAAATTAGTTTATCACTTCATTCAAAAAGCCGACTGAAACATTATTAAAATTCATTTAATTATTATAAACTATATCATCTGAATTTCACGATCTATTTTTATTACATGGAACGAAGTAAAATGGCGGCTTGCTTGAACATCTGCGTTACCTGTTCCTGC